TCTGTATTGTTATTAACAAATGTAGTGTTAGAGGAGATAACACATCCATGACCATTTCAGACTACTTTTAATAATCTCATCATCTAGTACTGTACCATTTTATACTGGTCTTAATAATGTTTACAACAAATGAAGGACAATTTAAAACTACTGTGATAATATTAACGATAATCAGACGCCCATTTTAAGCTGTTTTTATTGATAATAACCTACTTGTTAAGAAAAGTTACCATAGATCCTGTTGATCTTTACATTTTATTTAATGGTATCAAGGCAGACGAACAATCAATCATTCCACGACAGTTTTAATGTGTTCTTTATTACCGCTAGTATTTAACTGTAGAGTCAGTTTTCAGGCTAATATTTCCAGAGAAGTAATTTTTTTACCCTTGAAGTTGATACTGCCCAACTTTTTATAAAGTTGAAACTTTCAAAGAGCGTATTAAGAGATATATTGTGTTTTTAGTTGAAAACATCATTCATTATATGTGTTTCGGACAGTTTTTACTCAAACCAAATTGGTATCGATTAGAGAAATCCACAGCCTGAGCATCCTGCTCTTCAGACGCTATTCCTGATGTGGATAACTTAATTTCTCCTGCTTTGTGAAAGTCATCGGATCATACATATCACCTGGCAACCATCCAATCACGAACCAAACAAAGAATAGAAAAAAAAAAATAATAATTTGAGAGAAATAATTTAAGTGCCAACAGCATGGGAATGCAATTTCGGTTCCAGATCGTGCATGAGTGGATCCCTGCTTATGACAGTACATTTGAAATGAGTAGCCCTAGCGGTGGAGTTTGGTAAAATTGGAGTTAGTGGACTGTCAACCATGAAATTCTCGTGCTAAGTGAGCGGACGGCTTATCTGTTCATTCGTAGCCGTGCATGTTGCCTCATTATCATTAGGTGTGTATTAATATACACGAAGTTTCAGAAATTAATACTCTCTTTCTGCCTAAACTATTTACCAAATATCACATTTTATCCAAAGTCTAACAAGGCATGTCAATGACTGCATATGTGCAGAATATATTTATCGTATTCTGAAACTTTTGTTTTCGTTAAACTCAACAAAATGAGAGAAATTTTAATAATATATTACAAAAGTATTTTAAGATGAGAAATTTTAGAATTCTAACCATACGTATGGTCTGTGTGTTAGCTAACATCTGTGGTGTTACTTGTATTTGATGTGTGTGTTAGCTAACATCTGTGGTGTTACTTGTATTTGATGTGTGTGTTAGCTAACATCTGTGGTGTTACTTGTATTTGATCTGTGTGTTAGCTAACATCTGTGGTGTTATATATGTTTCTGTCACTACAATATTCCTTTACATGTAATATTTTTATGTTATTAACAATACCCGTGAAAGACTATGTCATAAAGACTCAACTTGTGTAAGACAAAAGAACAAACTGATGGCCCTCAAAACACCTGTAACTAGGAAAACTGTTAGGAGGTGTCACAGAAGGAGACTGGTGGCCGTAAAGACATCTGGAACTAGGTACA